GACTTTGATGGCAGAGTCAACATCAAAGATTTCTATGACTCTGTGACGTCTCAGATCATTTGTACTGGCTTATTGACAAGTGAGTTGATAACATTTCCAGTAAGAAGAAGAATATCAATTCTTGAATACAGTTTAAGACATTCTGTTAAAGAATGACTTTCCATCATTATAGCACCCTAGCTCTCTGATTACATAATGTACATTTTACTACTCATATTTATTGATGTGTGTTTACCCTTACTCCGTGACATGTTTTCTCTTCATTCTACATAGTTGTCAGAAATTAATCTTCTGGAATGATTTATCCAGACAATTTTTGTGTGATTAAGTTACTCTGTTAAACACCAGGTGGTCGTAAGAACCCCTTTCTTGTTTTGCCATCATATCACAACTGGGCACCTTGGATTGGACCAAAATGCAGAGATGGGGACATTGTTTTCAACACTGAGCATGAGAAGTTGCATGCACCAAGGCAGGCTGCTGAGATGTCAGATCTCCAAATGACAGAGGAGAGACTCCAAGATGCCCTTATTAACCTCCGGGTAATTGCTATTTTGTAACTGTTAATTCATCATTGGGACTCAATGACAATGTTATTTATTTTGTTTGTTTTTCCTATGTTGAAATAATAGGTGGACATGGTGCGTAAGCTATGCAAACAATGTGGCATAGATTCTAAAGGTTCTAAGATGGACCTTATTCTCAGACTCCGGGAGGAGATGAAGAACAGGTCATCATATGATAAGATTTTTGAGAAGGTCTGGGGAGCATCAGGTAGGCTACATCTTTCACTGAAGAGCAGCATGTTATTAGTGTGCAGTGATAAAATCATGCTTCATACAATCTTTATTGTGAGAGGTTTTCAAAAAGTAAACATATGTACATAGTAGCTCAACAGTTGTCACAGGACTTACATCATGGACCACACTGAGTAACACAATACAGACTTATCCATGGCAGTTATTTTGTGTAGCAAAGTTTTGCAATCTCATTAACTCAACTTTTTCATTTCCATAGGTGGCTGGGCAGTTGTTATGTGCCCCTGTGCTGTTGTCTATTCAATAAATTTTAATTTAAGAGCAGAAAGCCCCAGAGACTATGCAGATATTTTGCTCAGCTGGAAGCACTTTCCCAACATTGCCATTTATGATTTTGCGAGGGGACTGGCCACACACACCAACTTGAGGGAACCTGAAAACTTGCCTTTCAGCCCACATGAGGGACGGCTGGCTGAGGCATCCAATGATAATGTAAAGTCAGCTGCTGAAGGAAAGCTGAAGGTCCATTTACCATGGCTAAAAAGTAAAAAAAAGGATGCAGACACAAACTGCCACCCACTCACAGGATCATCGGAACATTATACCTTGTATGATGTTTTCCATGAGAAAAACACAAAGGATCCTAGAGACATCCTTCGAAGAATAGCACTTGTTCCTGAACTGGCTGGCTGGGTCAACAGCCAGTGTGCTGAGCAATTATTTGCAGACATGAGGAAGAACAATTACTTTCTGAATACACTCACACCGTCTGAACACATCTTCATGATGCGCAACATATTGCACCACTACAACACACAATGCAACAACAAGACTGAAGAAAGCATGAAGAAAATGGTGAGCGAGGATGTCCTGCAGTTGGATCACAATGGGCAGATAGTAATGGGTAATATTATTTACATTCATTAATTCATATTTTTCACTAATTAAAACAAATAACTATCTTTATCATTCTAATATTTTCTTTTACTAAACCCACAGCTGCACAGCCACCCACAGAAGCAGATGTAACAACACAACCCTGTAAGTACAATACTGAGAAGAAATTTCAAAAATCATGCCAACAGTATGTAACAACTTTGTTTGAAAGGATAGCATGATAAATTCATGGAATTACGTCTTTGTCTCATAAGCATCATAATAAGCTTTTCACAGAGAAGGTTATATGATGACTGTTCAAATGTTTTATTGCCACACTGACATAAATGTACTCTTCAGACTGTCCAAGCATGTCTGACCTGCTTCCAGGTCTAACACCTAACCAGACATCTGACCAACTGAACAGGAGGATATGGGCTGTTAACCCTCTCCCAGCACAACAGAAATTGGTGATGTATAATTTTGTAGTAATATACATAAATATGTAGTCTACTTTTGTAAATTTTTATTATTATTTTTTCTGTTGTGCTATTTGTGTGTGTAAATGCTTTTTTTCCAGTTGGCGTATGTGTTGGATAAAAACAAAGATCCGTATGAGGACATACTTTCTTATAGCCCAGGACGGACATTAACAAGATGTGATTTCTGGTCTTTGGCCTTTGAAGAGGTTGAAGCACAGGTAATTGTACACTTCCATGCATGTGGTGTACATGAATACATCGGCTTTTAGTAATGACCTTACTTTTCTTTTAACAGATTGCTGATCAGTGCTTTCAAGTCATAACTGCTCTTGGAGCTTCACAGGTCAGCTTGTTTTTGTTCTGTGTGGTATTATTAAGCCTTTGGCAGGGAGGCCTTGTGGCCTTAAGAAGAAATTTCTCACTTCTCATGGAGTTTGTCACAGGCTTTACACAATACATTTTTCCTACATTTTCTAAAAAAAAACTGTAGCACTACTAGTTTCTGTCTCTTCAGGGCAAAGACGTCCACACTTTCAGCATCTATTTGGTGGTTACCTGGTTACCACCATTTCACAATGATCCCCTTGCAGCTTTACCTGTAAGTTTCTTTTTAAATTATTGTTTGTGTGTACATATATATACAGTACTTCTGTGTGTATATGTCATTATTCCAATACACAGGACAATATTGGAACAAAGGACATCATTTTACTCCCTTCGTGGGAGTCCGGGCACTGGATTTTGTGTGTAAGTTAGCAAATTTTCCAAGTGAGATACTTTATTAACATGTATGTGGATGTGTAGCTGTTGATGTGATGTGTATTTGTTTTTCTGTTACATTTGCATTTTTCAACCCATCACTGTATTTGTCTCTTTTAGCATGCCATACACACATTCATTTTCTTTTGTAAACTTGTAGTTTTTTGTTTTTTTTTGTGTTGTGGTCTCTCAGTTGTTGCATGTCTTAATATCATCTGCATTTCCAGGTACTCAAGCCAAAGTCAAAAGAGATTTTATTTCTAGACTCCATGAACTCTGTAGACTTTGGACTTGGGAGCTACAGAGACATATTCAGGTTTTGTTCTCATTACAAAGCGTTCCGGAGTTTCCAGTCAAATTCTTCAAGAAGTTTTCTACTTCTGCATGGTTTGTTCCAGTTTGAACATGAAAAACAAACTCCAGGCGTTGGATATATCAGTATGTTTTGCTTCTCATATGTCAATATGATGAAGCTACAGTCTACACATCCTCTATTTGAGAACTGTTTTGGTATAACTTAGGTTCTGATTTGGATCCATATAAAAGCTCATAAATGAAAAATCACTTTGATGTGTGGGGGAACTTTTCCAGGTCCTCTTTAGCAGGGTGGGACTGGGAGGAGAGTGCTGTAGCCTTTTAGCTGGAAGCTAACCGGAGCCTGGGGCTAACATCACCACCCGGTGGAACACTAGCGACATGAAGGTGGGTTGGTTCACCGGCACGTGTCGGAGTCAGCCCAGTTATTATCAGCTGCTTAACGACACCGAGCAGACTCACGTTCACGTTTGAAAGCAGCGCTGAATCCAGAAACATCAGCACAAATGGGCCATTCCCATCTGTACCGGGTCGGCCCGGGCCGGGTAGCCCCAGCCGGCCCCAGCCTGGCCCGGTTGATTCCACACATCCTTGTCTTAAGCCCATGTGGGCTGATTCTACCCACCAATCAGAGGCTTGCTCTAATGGAAGGTGTGAATGGGTTGATTCTATCCACCAATCAGAGGCTTGCTCTAATGGAAGGTGTGAATGGGCTGATTCTACCCACCAATCAGAAGCTTGCTCTAATGGAAGGTGTGAATTTGCTGTCAGCAGTGGGCGTGTTGGCCCTGGTCGGCCTGAAGCAGTACCCCTCGGGAAGAGGGCCGAGAATGAGCCTTGGTTGGCCCGGGAAAATTCCAGGCCACCCAGATATGTAAACAACCTACGCTACCCGGCCCGGGCCGACCCGGTACAGGTGGGAATGGGGCTAAAGTGTGTTCTTTGCTCTGAGCCAGCATGACGGACAAGGGAACGGCGCCGCTAACTCGGTTCGGGTGTTGCTTTCCACCCATCCTAAGGGTCTACATAGGGGGCGGGCGTATTACGTAAACGGACCCATCTGATTGGCCGCATATCAGAAGGGCTACATTTGATTGGTCAGATAATACTTCCACATAAAAAACAGAGCTGGCTTACAAAAAGTTGATGTATGACACGGATGGAAATGTTTGAACCAAACATTTATTGCTGTTTTTGACGTGCTTTGCAATGGGCCTATCGCATGTCCTGTTGTCCCGATGACGATAATTTTTCAATAATTTTTCAATATATTGTGCAGTCCTACTCTTTGTCAATACTGATTGTGAATCGATTTAAGTTGAGAATCGATTCTGAATCGAATCGGCACCCCAAGAATCGGAATCAAATCAAATCGTGAGTTGCTCTAAGATTCACATCCCTACTAAAGGCGGTCCAACTAAACATTAGAGGGTGTGACTGTTTCTTTGGTGGCAACATATTTTTGGCTAGGCAGTGTATATTCTTACAAACTTGTTCTTAAACAGGTGTGATCTGAAGTCAAACTCATGGTTCTGGTGGGTCAGAAAAACACCTTTGGTGACAAATTAGATCATCTGAAACAGCAGGAGGAAAAGGGATAAGGTAAAGAACAGTTTGATTATCTTGTTTTTTTCTGGGGTGAAGATTCAAACAGTTAGCGAAAATCTGCCTACTTGACTTCGTGACTCAGAAAAACCAAAATAATCTAATTAGAAGGACTGAGCAGAAACTCTGGGTTCTTTTACCAAATCTATAGGAGGAAAAATAAAACACATAAAACAAAGATGAGACTAAGACAGGTGAGTCTTACCTTAAAGCTGAAGACAAACTTTCCTCCTTTGTAAAAGCCCTGAGAAGCACAAACACATGTCTGAGTCTTCGTGATCAACATCCTGACTCCATTTCCATTTAAATACCGGTTGATCTGTCAAAGTGAAACATGTTCAGCAGAAACACCTGAGCTGCTGACGACAGGGGAATAAACTTTCAAATCTGCTGTTTGTTACCTGAAACTAGAGATGGACAATATATCAGCATCAATATCGGTATCGGCCGATGTTAGTATTTTTTAACATATCTATATCAGTTCGATAAATAAAACTGGGCCGATATTAACAACCGATATTTTTTTCCATCTCGTCTCCATTTGTTTGCCTGTATCAGAGAGTGAGGGGGGGCGATGTGAACAGTGAATGCATACATCTGAGAACTGTAAATGTGTGTGTTGTGTGTACATAATTACGTAAATTCAGCTTTAATCATTTAATTATATACAAAATCTGCTGATTTTAGAAGCATTAATGTCAGTTAATCGGTATCGGCAAATATCGGTTATCGGCCATGACAGTAATCTTAATATTGGATATCGGTATCGGCCCAAAAATTTCATACCGGTGCATCACTTCCTGAAACCTTCAGCGACAGCTACACAACCATCTCAATCCAGAAACTTTCTAATTTGATGATGTCATAAAACTGACCCGTACTTTATCAGATTCAGTAAATCAGTCAAACCTTTGTTTGAAACATTGTAAATCAGAAAATGTTTTCATTTTAAACAGCTACTTTTGGCTACTGGGTAAAGATCATGCTGTTGTTTCAGTAAAAAACAACTGTAAGCACACTGCTTGCAAACAAGCATTTAATATAAACAAATCAAACATGAAAGTTGACAGTTTTACTTCATAATGGATTTAATGTGTTCAAGTTAAAAGTTTCATATTTCAGAGGTTTCATGAATACAGCAGTAGATCAGTCTGACAACAAACCACAGACCTAATCTTTATCTCACACACACACACACACACACACACACACACACACACACACACACACACACACACACACACACACACACACACACACACACACACACACACACACACACACACACACACACACACACACACCTCGTCTGGTGAGATGATGAGTCTGAAGTTGAGGAGGTCATCATCATCTGGAAAGCTGATCTCACACGTCTTTGGCAAATTCAACTCATTGATGTCTGAAACACAAACAGATCATTTTAATTATAATTAACTGGATCAGCACCAACAGAACACTTTGAACACAAAAACAGACCACATGCACGTGACTGGTTTGGACAGCCGTTTATTTAACATGATATCTTAAAAACCAGAGTTCCAACTTCAGAGACAACACAGGAATTACAGGGTGACCTAAACTTGTGTGTTTTTGGGCATTACCAAGTCAGACGTCTGAGAGGGCAGCTGAAGAACATGGCTGAACTCCAGAGACCTCTATGAACGTGTTGAGTGTAGAAATGACTGAGGTGTCAGTAAGATGATGTACAAAACAACTTTCGACTGATTAAACAAACAAGAATCTCTAGTTGATTTACATTCCAACCCTCACATATGGTCGTGGTAAAGAATGACAAAACAAGATCATAACAGGCTGCCAAAATGAAATTTACACAGTGAGGAGTTCAGACATTCAAGGAGGACTGAGTAGAACCGCTGCTTCTTCTCATCCAGAGATGCCAGCTGAGATAGCTCAGACTCGGGAATAGACATAACCATGTTGGACGATAGGCTGGCTCATTTAATACAAGGACTTTAGTTGAGTAGAATGTGGCAGCAGGAGGTTGACATCAGCAAATATCCAAACAATGCCTTGGGGTCCCATCAAAGGAGCTAATGATATAGGCTGGGATGGAGACAGTATGGGTAAATGCTTTAACTACTTCTATAGCCTGTTCCAATAAATAAATAAATAAATGCTCCACTTGCAAAAAGTGCCGCAAAGGGAGCATTTGATCATTCATAAGTGGTCAGCCTGTGGCCATAATGGGGTGCAATCATGTTTTTCACAAAAGATCACATGGTTGCTGTATAACAGGGGTGCTGGGTGATCTCTGTGTCATCATGGACATCCTTTTAACTTGGACATAACTTGTTTTTATCTCTTTTGAAGCCACAGTCCTTAAGTTTTTTTTGTGAGCCACCCCAAAAGGGGAACTGTCCTGTGATCAGATCTTCAATTCTAACAGCCAGGATCTTCTGGATATCTGCACCACGCCAGTTTGCCATCTCCGCTGACACTGTTTGCAAACACGACAGGGACTCCCCATGTTAACTTGCATTTGGAAAATTATTGCCAACCAGGGCTTAGTGGACATTTCATCCATGACCATGGCATCCCCCTCTGTTGCAAGAAGTCATGAACTTCATTCAAAAGTCCAATGTTGCAATAATAGTACAATCAGGTTTCACGGAACGAACTACGCAATATTCTCATCTCGCCAAGCCACCATGGTGCATTCCAAAGAACCACGTGGCGGCAGTATTACCCTGACGTGCTGCTCCAGTGTGTGTTTTGAACCCGGCTCATGCGTCTTTCTAAGCAACGCACTGTCCAGTAATATCACACCTTGGGTCTCTTCTTTGTTCTCCATTTTGCCTTTGCCATCTACTTTTAAACTCTTCAGGGACTTAGGGGTCTAGTTTCAAAAACTAGCCTTTCACAGTGTTTGTAAACAATGCCTCAGTTGCCATGCTACTGCATCATATAGGTGCCTGAAACCCTGAGGCCAGAACAGCACCCTCATAGGCGTGTATTTGAGTGCGTTATCAAAAGTGTAAGCAGTTTAACAGTCATAATGGACAGATGTTAACCCTACCTGCCAGTTTGGTGAGATGATTTCTTGTTGAGGAACCATTTCAATTTCTCACCACCTGACAGGACCAACTAGGTGTCTAACACCTGGGGGACAGGGGCACCTGCGGGTGTTTGACATGACGAGCTCAGTGTGAGCTGGTTTAAGGACAGGAACCAGGCAGGGGGGTGTTTCAGCTCCACTTTAAATGAACGACATACACTTTGACCCGGGCTATCTGACCACCAGTCAGTCACACCTGAAGTTTGTGACAGAGGGCTGACACAGCAAGTTAGCTTGTCCAAAGCTCCCACCAACGCGTAAAACCCGACTAGAAAACAGTGTTTGTGTGGGCTGTTAATGAGGTATGCGTAATAAACATGTGTCTTATATCCTAACGATTGTGTTCTGATAAGGTGGCCCCAAATCGTTACGGAGTTGGAGCGTCTCTGTTTTGTTTTCAAATACAGCAGCAGCAGCTAGCCGTTGTTAGCTTCTGAATAGCCTGCTACCAGTTAGCTGGCCTGAGTTCACGGCTACCGGGCACTAAACGGCTGTGTCCCCCGGTAGTTTGCCAGTAACCGGACAGTCGGGAAGCAGGAAAGACTGGCAGGGGTGCTGAGAGGGTGGTGAGGTGGGAAACCAGCCTACCTTTCTGTATTCGAAGCTGGGCCGCGCTGGCTTTTTTGCCCCCGGCTCCGGCTCTGTTTCCTCCAGCAGATTCCTCGTCTTTCTTCTGCTGCTTCAGGGAGAACAGCTTAATCATCTTCACTTGTTCGATAATCGGAGGCCTAAACTCTTGAGTCCCTTTAGTGTGCGAACTCCCCGTGTGTCCTGAGTGTTAACAGAGCCAAATGAGCCCGAACTGCACCGTAATGTGGATGGAGCCGGTGCGTCTCAACTAATCACACCGAGCTAACCTAGCTGTTAGCCCGCAGGAGAGGCCGGGTGGGGAGGAGGGTGCAGACGTCGCATGGATTGGTACGTCACTAATTGCGCCATATTGGAGAGGTAAACTGGTAAGGACTGTCACGTGACTAATAGGCAAGCCTGAGGCCAACCTTGATAGCAGAAGGGTCATAGTTAGAAAAGCCATAGTTATTATTGTTTTTAATATAATTTCGTTATTTAATATCTATAATTATTGCACACTTTAATTGAATTTATATTCAGGATCTATTTTTTTTAACAAAATACATTAAGAAAAAACTAAATATGCCAGTAGACTAGCCGTGATGTCATCACGCAAAAGGCGGGGCCAAGGTATATTGCCTGCCCATATTTTATTCACTAGGTTTATTTTATTTTATTCCTTACAGACCGGTGTAAAGATGCACACCGTAAGGTCACCTGCGTGATATGATGAATGCGCTGGTGAAAGACATGTCATGGTTGAGTGGCATTAATGATAATCCAGATCACGCACATCACGCAAACAACCGCTGCACAATAGACACGAGAACAAAAGCCGCGCGCTGCGTTTTGCTCATATTCATGTTAATGCGCGGGGACTAGTTCTTGCGGAGGGTTACACGTGCGCGTAGATGTTAGTGAGAACGAACCCTTTGCGTGTTGTTGTGTGCAGTTGTGTGTGTGTTTTTGTATGTGTTTGTGTGTTTTTGAAGCCTCGCGGGAGGAAGAGGAGCAGAACGTGCTGAGGGGAGAGTGAGGCAGTCTCACACTGCAGACAGAGGGACAGAGAGGGGAGTGAATGGGCACGACTCAGTCAGCATCACTGTGCCCTTCACTGTATCCTAATCGATCGGTTCGGCTATCGAGACATTTCGACCCTGCACGGGTCCGTTAAGGCTGGCCCGGCCTGGGAGCTCGCCGGAGCAATGGGACGCGAATGAAGCAGCCCGAAGCGAACAGCAGCAGCCCGGCGGAGGAACAAACAAGGAAGCGCTTAGCTGAAGCTAACGGCTCGCTAATATTGATTCTGATGAGTGAACGAGGACCATGCGAGCTGAAAGGAAGAGGTGAGAGGGCGCTGTGTGTGTGCGTGCGTGCGTGTGCGTGCGTTTTCAGCTCAGTCAGTGTAATTCTTCTCCACCTGCCTAATTTACTGTTCATTATCACTGGATACTAAAAGAGGAAGCAACCGCAGGGGGCGGACAGTCTACTAGCCTGCTAACACATTAGCACGGTTGTCATTAGCTTTTCCGCCAGGTGTGGGGGCGACGGGAGGGATGTTATGTCATTACAGGTGCGTGATTGGTTAATTATCACAACAGAGCACGGTTAAGATTTATAGCTGACTGGATATAGGTTACTGTGACACGGGTAGCGGTTAGCCGTTAGCAGCTCGGCTAACAGCCTTTCTGTGATTATTTTTCCTGTTATCGGTTCATCTGCTGCCATTTTCTGCAGTGATCGATACAAATCAGCTAAATGTAGAAAAATCGAGCAGTCCCAATAGAAATAGGATTTTCAGGATCTCCAAGCATCTGCATCCCAGAATCTGCACACATCTGTTATTGTGTCACTGAATAAAGTTTTCTTATATAATAATCTGAAGCTGATTAGACCAAATCTTGTTATTGTTGACTTATTGATTAACCAGCTTACTGTGGTGAATGAAAGTTTACAGCTTGGTGACCATAAGTCAGTCCTTTAAATGTAGAACTAAAACAGGAGTAATCAGTTGTACCTCTGTATCAAACAGCAAGGTCTTCAGTCTGCTCAAAGCTGCTGTTCCTTTGTCATTACAAATACAACATCTGAACGGTCAGATGTCCAAAAGCAAAGAAAAGTCAATGAACTGAGCAGAGCATCAAAACTGTAGGTAAACAGTTAGTTATGGCTTCACTAACTGGAACAACTGGTGTTTATAGTTGTGTAATGCCATTAGGTGTATTAGATAACTGTTCACTTAAAGATGTGAAACAACTACCTTCCTGGTAAAGTGTGTAGCTAATAATTAAATTGTGAAATATTAAAGACAATGATTTGCTAATTTTATAAAGTGGTGGCAAAACGAAGCCATTTCACTAATTTATGACAATGTGACGTCTTCCTGTGTGTATTTGCAGCCTCGCGTCTTCATATTTAATGGATCATCTATAAATTGTAACTGGCTGCAAATGGATCCAGCTGTTGGAGCTCTGGATTTTCAACTGCACAATAAAAGTTCTGCTCTGTCTCACGTGAATATGAAGATATTTTCCTTAAAACAACATTATCTGGACCATTTATAAACACCTTTCGGTCCTACCAGATGTTCAAATTGCCAGATGCTTATGAATTGTCAGACGTTCAGACTTAAACTGAATTCTGATAACAAGCTGGGTGTCCCATGTTCCTTTTAGTCCGAGAGAGACAACTTTGATAACAGAAGATTTATTTAAATGACCAGTGTTATTCTGAATCTGTGAACGTCACTCAGTTCACAGCCATCTTTACAGACTCACGTCCTGCATGCTTTTCCTTTTTATTCCATCTTGTTTGGGATTTATGGTCTGTCAGGCTGATTTCACAATGTTCTTTCACTTTAGTTTCACTCACCTCTTTGGACTTTGGTTTCTTGAAGATGTTTCACTTCTCATCTGAGAATATTTACATTTCTGACTGGAAAATGCAGAGTCATAAAGCTCCTTTATTATTCATAAAAACTGCATCATTTTATTTGAATGAAAAATTCCCTTTATGATAAAAAAATGTAAGTAAATCTGTTTTTATTATTTTGCTTAATGTGTGGTTGTTGCACTTTAGGTTTCACATTGGCAGCTTCATTTGTAAGGTTCCTGGTTGTTTGTCAGGTTGCAGCAGAAAGAAAAGGTTAAAAGAGAGAAAACTGTGAGGCAACAGCACGAGATGTATTCTAATCTTATGTTGGGCTGTGCAGAGAGAAGTGAAGTAGGAAAACAAAATTACAATCTGTTTCACAGATCACTCCTTACATGAGAATTTGTTCAGTTGAAGGCTGGAAGACAAACAGGTAAAAGGTCAGATTAGGTCATTATTAAGGTCAGAGACGGTTTTATTCATGCAAGTTATTTTAGTGAGCAGGGGCGGCGTTAGGCCCGGCTACTTGGGCTCAAGCCCCGAATGTTTAATGAAAAGCCCCGGATCTCAATCGTGGAAGTAACATGCAGTACCAAAGTCCAACAGAGAGGGAACAGCTGGCAGTAGTTTGTATACAGCCTACATGAGCCTCCACCACTGAAGAAGAAGCCCTTCAGCAGCCGGCTTCTTCTACAGTCTCTGCCTGAAACGCATGAGTGAAGATGGACATAAGGACGTTTTTTAGACCAAAAGTACAACGACAGAACCCCAGCTCTGATGAGACTGGTGTTGACTCAGGTTTGTGAGTCTTATTTGAAAATATTTGTTGTGCTGCTGGTTTGCCTAAAGTTAGCTTACTATCAGGTAAAGTTGTTGGAGAAAGAAAGGGAATATTTACTATCATCTCACACTAAACACTAACAGGAACAATACTCTGCCCTGAATATGCTTAATATGTAGCTTCAGATTAAAAATTATGTGGTACAAGACATATGTGATGTTGACTAGTGTGTGTCACGTGTGTGCGTGCGCGTGTGTGTGTGTGCGCGCGCGTGTGTGTGTTAAGCCCCGGATCTTCTTCAGTCCTAAATCCGCCCGTTAGTGAGTAATTGTTAGTATAAGAAAGGTAATTCTCTAATATCTCGAACAAACGCATCAAATAAAACATCAGATGAAGCAGTGGTGATATCGGACTGAAAAATGTGTCACACACACATTTACATGCGCCAAATTTCCCCAATCCCAATTCAGATCTTGGCTGATCGGAACTCCCGAATCTCTGTTTACATGCACACTAGCTGAAATGATCCGATCATGCCCCGAGGTTATATGCACCAATTATTCAATCAGATTAAGTAGGCTGAGCATGCGCAGAGTTGTCCTACCCGGAAAGAAAAAAAATTGTAGAACGTCATGAAACAAAATGAAATTTGTAAATAAATAAAAAATAAATACTATTCTTCCTGCTTTCCTGATTCATTTAATCAATTTAATGTTTTTATTTTGCTCACAGAAGTTACGCTTACCTCAGTGCATAACTGCAGACATATGCTTTGCTGCGTTTTATTGCTGACCATTTTAAAATAAGGGAGGGTTATCCTTGTCTCTGCCTGTTGGGTTAGGGTTAGGCTCGCTAGCTGTTGCACACATGCGCAGTCGGCATTATTAACAATTAACATTGTTTTACTCCAACAGTCAGAAGGGCTGTGTACATGCACGTCAATTGGAATGATTGTCAGATTGAAATTTCATTCAGATCGGGCCGAATCGGATCAGAACATTCCCATTGACATGTTTACATGCAGAATTTTTGATCTGACTGGGCGTTCAATCCAATTAAATGTGTGCATGTAAACGTGGCTAATGTAACTGTCAGGCCCTGGAAACAGTTAAAAACCTCTTCACTGAGAACAGGTCCTATGAGGACACACGTTTGAATCGTTGATTACTGATCGATTGTTTAGTCTTTAAAACAGCAGGAAACCTGTAGATCAGATCAGAATCAGGACGGATGAAGCTCCATGCAGTCAGGACTGATTCAGCAGTGTAAACGTGTTATTACACAAGTGTGTGCAGCTGGTCATGTCTCTGCTGTCAGTATGTAAACTGAATTCTGCAGCGTTGCATTAAAGACTCACGTGAGTCCGGCTGCATGAATTTCATAAAGTGAAAAGAGCATCAGAACTTTTGCAGCTGCAGGTTGCTGAACCATGCCAGTGTGTGAAAGAGCTTAGCTCACACTTAAACTTCACAGACAAGCTAGGTAAAGACGTCCACTTTTACTAACCTGACTACTGCTCAGAGGTGGGCGTGTCACGACGAGGGGTGCTGTGTGTAGTTGGAACATTTCTACTTCCACGGTTCTAACAAGTAATAATGAATGCTTCACTATATTTAATGAAGGACCAAAGGTATGTTAAGGTTTTGTTACAGGAAAAATGCTTTGCCCCCATGTATAACCAGTGTGGTTCACATTTATATTTAATGTTTAAATCATGTGACCACAGCCTCGTTGTCGATCCTTAACAATACTCCAGCTATCTTTGAGTTTTGTTACCAAGCTATGGTTGGCTGAAGTCTCAGTGTGTGTGGTGCTTTTGTGTTTTAGCATCCAGGGACTCATTATGACGTCGGTCTCACATAGTGAAAGTTCAGACCCGTGCTGCTACTGCTGAATCCAACCCAGACTTACTTTCTTTGTGTGAAATCTAAAACAACCCCAAGTCTCCTGTTTTAGATGTGCTGGGCTGACTTCCCTGAGGGCGTGTCTACTGCGCTCGGAGCTGGACGACGGGCTGATTCAATGGTTGCAGACTTCCATCCGTTCACAGTCAAAGAATATTAGAAAAACCTCATTCTGATTTAAGCTGTACAGTCAGGTTTTAGTGTCGGATGTTTTGACTAACTCTTGACTCCATTGTTGAATGGTGTTCCAGCTTTTGTTGTTTTTTTTCTAAATACAAATAAAAAGTGTCAGGATGATTCTCAGTCTGCAGCAGCTCTGCTCCGTCTTCAGGAGGAACGTTCCTGCTCAACAGCAACAAAGACCTTAGCGGTTCTATGTTCTTTAGAAAAACCAGAGAAAATTAACTCCCTCTATTAGGGACTGGTACAACAATATTTGATGGTAGTAAACTGTGAATGATCAGAGTGAGCTGAAGAATGTGTGACACACACACTGATAAGAACCTGTTCAAAATGCTCTTTGGCCTAAATGCTGTTATATCTTCTGTGTTTAAACATGGGAAAAGAAAAAAGTTAAAAATAAATATCTGAAAACGTGAATGGAGTACAACAACTTAATTTTGGTCGTATAGTTCGCTGCTAGTGTTGAATTAAACTTGAACTCACTACAGGTGGATTTAACCGTGACATGATGAAGGCCGGGGATGGTGATGTATATTTTAGGCTGTAATGTTGAGCCCTACCTTCAGTACAGAGCAGCTGATGATGTCTGCAGAGCCACCAGGACCACAACATGCCAGCTGAATCATGTGACCTTCTTGTGCTGTTGTGAATGGTCAGGACTGAGCTGCATTTCTGTGTCTGTGTCCAGCTGACTTGTTCGGGGATGTCGGGCAGTAAGACGCTGGGCGGGGGGGCTGGCGGCGGGGCGAGGCGCAGACGAACCCGGTGCCGGCGCTGTCAGGCCTGCATGAGGACAGAGTGTGGAGAGTGTCACTTCTGTAAGGACATGAAGAAGTTCGGTGGGCCCGGCCGGATGAAGCAGTCCTGCCTTCTGAGGCAGTGCACGGCGGTGAGTTGCACACACGCACGTATGCTGAGGTTTTGAGTAACTAACCTGGAGTTTTCCCCCTTTAAGGATTCATGAATGACTTTTTTTAGAAATCAGTAAAAGGGATTTTTGTATCATAATGTAGGCAGTATGTTTGTTTGTTTGTTTGTTTGTTTGTGCTAGGCCTGTGCTCTGCCCCGTAGAGCCCCATACAATTTGAACTGAGCGCTGTTCAGTATCAGCCAATAGGGTTAGACATGCGCTTACGTACAGATATCAATCACAGAGCGTGCTCGAGCGTTTCAGGACATACCTAGGCAGGTGCAGAGTTGGTGACCTTTCTTTTGGACAAGTAAGTTTAAAATAGGAATAAACAACAACATGAGAATAATAATTTTAAAACAAAGTGTTTTAGCTCTTTTTGTTAGCTAGAGCTGAGCGTTCATGAACTAGAGGCGTTGCTTCCGGCTGTAAAAACAGAAGTTAGAATGTATTGAGTTGTGATACATTTGCCATCCACTAGATGGTGCCGTTGGATAAAAAATACTCTGGACTGTAGCTTTAATTGGGAACCATTGTGAGCTCACCACAACAGGAGTTGAGAAGCTTGTGCTTCTGTTGGTGATGGCTAAATATTGATAAAGCTTTTATATTTCACGTAGTTTCCTAAAGACAGGAGCTGTATCATTCTACAACCGTGAGTGTACGGTTTTCTACTTAGCTGTCTGGAGGCAGGCGTTGCAGATTAGCAACGTTAAAACCCGCCTACCTGGTTACTCCACATACGTATTAACTCAGAAGTTCCCCTGAAGGACTTGGTTGGTCGTCCTTTTATCAAAACCTATTTTGAGCCTGAGAGGGTTAAACAAAAAATAAAACTCAAGACTATTGTTTATAGATGTATTTTTCCATTGAAGGGATGGAGGATCATATATTTTATTGGTCATGTATGGCTCCATTAATTGAAACCAGCAAACTTAGTGGATGTTCAGGAGTAACCCACAAACACCAACGTTCAATGTCAGGCTGAGAAAACCCTGAGAGTCAGAGTTCTTGGAGCCTTAGTGGAAGACATAAACCACACAGTTCCTCACATGTTTCATTAAACACCGACGCTCTCCATTCAGGGACGAGTCTGTTCTAAAGCTTAAGGCATTCAAGTTAAATATAACAAAATCAAATGAGGCAGCACCCACACACACGTGATCAGGAGGACTGGGTGATGTTAACACACACACATGACATAATCCTCCACTGCACCTGCAATATGTCTCTTATGCTTCTGTGCCGTTGTCTCTGTGAGGACCGGGCCTGGTCCCCGACACTGGATCTGACCCGTGGCCAGACAAAACGTCCCCACAGAGGTTCTGTTTCTGAAGATGTGATCAGTTCTTCTGTTACTGTGTGTTGATTCTTCAAATAGCATCATTGTGAGCTGGAGCCCAGCAAGCCATGATTCTGGGTTTCCATGGCAACCGGAGATGGTTGCTGGAGCTGTGAGTGAGCCAGAGTTGGCTTTGATCCATCGATGTGGTTTCACTGATTTGTTTTATTGTACACACACACACACACACACACACACACACACACACACACACACACACACACACACACACACTTGTTATGTTCTACACGTTTATTTATGCGTTAGAGCTTTTATAGTAAGAGAAAGAAGTGCTGCAAGACAATGGAGGAAAATGAGTTGCAAGGAGGAGGATGGAGGAACGCAGGAGCAGAGACTCCCTCTACTGGATCTTGAGATTAACTGGTTTGCTGAAGATGTTTAATGAATGAACAGAAGAAATGTTTCTTCATAAAAGTTATTTTTTCCTCTACGTTCTTTGGGTCTTCCTCAGGACCTGAAATGCTATCTTTATGAACCGTTTCCCCTCTCTGTCTCACCTTTGTGTGTTTGCAGCCTGTCTTGCCTCACACAGCGGTGTGTTTTGCGTGTGGCGAGGCAGGGAAGGAGGATACGGTGGACTCCGAGGAGGAAAAATTCAGCTTGTCTTTGATGGAGTGTACCATCTGTAATGAGATCATCCACCCTAGCTGCCTCAAGGTGAGTCAGCTGATCCCAGATCAACCCATTTTGATTTGCTACAGAAGAGGAAAGTTCACATTTTAAATATTCCCTCCGGATGATTATGTGAAAACAATATCTGATGCTGCTGTTCAGTCCTCGGGTTTATTACGTTTATTTACTGTTAATGTTGTTTTTCTAATTGTCCTTTTTTGTTATTCAGAAACAATATGGCTTCTTTTCTGATTACAGTTCAAAATCGATCCCTCTCTTCTTTATATTTGGCTTTCAGTGAAGCAGAAGTTACGGTGGGCTGTGTTGTTCCAAGTGTTGGATTAGAAACTAGCCTGAAATAGAAGACTCAGAAATAAAAGTTCTCCAGCAGATGAGCAGACTCTAAAAGTCTTCAACAGACCTAAAACAAAACCTGAGAGGTGTGTTATCTCAGCTCTAAGAGGTGTGTTATCAGGGTAGAGGTGTGTTATCAGGGTAGAGGTTTGTTATCAGGGTAGAGGTGTGTTATCAGGGTAGAGGTGTGTTATCAGGGTAGAGGTGTGTTATCAGGGTAGAGGTGTGTTATCAGGGTAGAGGTGTGTTATCAGGGTAGAGGTGTGTTATCAGGGTAGAGGTGTGTTATCAGGGCAGAGGTGTGTTATCAGGGTAGAGGTGTGTTATCAGGGTAGAGGTGCGTTATCATGGTAGAGGTGTGTTATCAGGGTAGAGGTGTGTTATCAGGGCAGAGGTGTGTTATCAGGGTAGAGGTGTGTTATCAGGGTAGAGGTGCGTTATCAGGGTAGAGGTGTGTTATCAGGGTAGAGGTGCGTTATCAGGGCAGAGGTGTGTTATCAGGGTAGAGGTGCGTTATCAGGGCAGAGGTGTGTTATCAGGGTAGAGGTGTGTTATCAGGGCAGAGGTGTGTTATCAGGGTAGAGGTGTGTTATCAGGGCAGAGGTGTGTTATCAGGGTAGAGGTGTGTTATCAGGGTAGAGGTGTGTTATCAGGGTAGAGGTGTGTTATCAGGGCAGAGGTGCGTTATCAGGGTAGAGGTGTGTTATCAGGGTAGAGGTGTGTTATCAGGGTAGAGGTGCGTTATCAGGGCAGAGGTGCGTTATCAGGGCAGAGGTGCGTTATCAGGGTAGAGGTGCGTTATCAGGGTAGAGGTGTGTTATCAGGGTAGAGGTGTGTTATCAGGGCAGAGGTGCGTTATCAGGGTAGAGGTGTGTTATCAGGGTAGAGGTGTGTTATCAGGGTAGAGGTGTGTTATCAGGGTAGAGGTGTGTTATCAGGGCAGAGGTGCGTTATCAGGGCAGAGGTGCGTTATCAGGGTAGAGGTGCGTTATCAGGGTAGAGGTGTGTTATCAGGGTAGAGGTGTGTTATATGGGCAGAGGTGTGTTATCAGGGCAGAGGTGTGTTATCAGGGTAGAGGTGTGTTATCAGGGCAGAGGTGTGTTATCAGGGTAGAGGTGTGTTATCAGGGTAGAGGTGTGTTATCAGGGCAGAGGTGCGTTATCAGGGTAGAGGTGTGTTATCAGGGCAGAGGTGTGTTATCAGGGTAGAGGTGTGTTATCAGGGTAGAGGTGTGTTATCAGGGTAGAGGTGTGTTATCATGGTAGAGGTGTGTTATCAGGGTAGAGGTGTGTTATCAGGGCAGAGGTGTGTTATCAGGGTAGAGGTGTGTTATCAGGGTAGAGGTGTGTTATCATGGTAGAGGTGTGTTATCAGGGTAGAGGTGTGTTATCAGGGCAGAGGTGTGTTATCAGGGTAGAGGTGTGTTATCAGGGTAGAGGTGTGTTATCAGGGTAGAGGTGTGTTATCAGGGTAGAGGTGTGTTATCATGGTAGAGGTGTGTTATCAGGGTAGAGGTGTGTTATCAGGGCAGAGGTGTGTTATCAGGGTAGAGGTGTGTTATCAGGGTAGAGGTGTGTTATCATGGTAGAGGTGTGTTATCAGGGTAGAGGTGTGTTATCAGGGTAGAGGTGTGTTATCAGGGTAGAGGTGTGTTATCAGGGTAGAGGTGTGTTATCAGGGTAGAGGTGTGTTATCAGGGCAGAGG